TGTTAGTTGAAAAGTGGAAATAAATCTGAGATGATCCGACGTAATTATAATAACTTCTAACTGAATGTTGGTTTGGTACCAATGTATTTTTTCTGGTATACTTATAATCGCGAGGATACCAAAGAATGAGTGTAAGTCTATGGGAGATGTGGACGATTTTCGTGGATCGATAATGTGCGTCGGATTAAAGTGCGCGACAGGTGACAGTGGCTTTTACGAAGAAATTTCCGTCGAAACTTTGTGCCGCGCAAAGTGGCCATTGCGTTTCGTTCCGGAGATAAAAACCGTGACGAGGAGCCAAGGTAGAGAACGAACAGAAGAAGCCTAGGAGTATACGGGAGAAAATAAAGATCAGAGGAGAACGAGCGAGAGAGGAGAGGCAGAGACCAGTGACGGTCCACGAGAAGACAAATTCTGTAATCCTCTTTGGTCGGCGAGCTAAGCCCTCTGTGTGACGGCATACCGTCTTCTTTCTCTTATTTCCTCCTCTCGGTTTTGCTTCTCTCCTTGTCTACCGCCCCTGTCCTCCCACGCCGATCAAGGAAATTAGATTTCGAATCGACAGCCGTGCTTAAGTATAAACGACGAAGCGACATCGAACAACGCTGAACCGAGAGGAAACAGGAATTCACGACAGATAAGGAGGCGGGATCGTATTTTACGACACGGAAAGGAGTACCGCGACCCCGTCCCGGGATCGTTCGCTCAGTTTTTATTCCATCTCGGAAAATTGCCAGGCGATAAGTAATATTTAATTACCTGAACCAGAAACAGAAATTGAAGAAGCGAAGAGTGAGAAAGAAAAACAGATATTTTTTTGTGGTCCATTTGAATTTTGCGAATCGTCTATTTTCCTTCTGGTTCTCGCGCGAATCGAAATTCTTTTTCTGTCAAGCTGCCACGACAGTTTTGTTAATCCGCACGTCAATCGCGCATCAAATTCCTGGCCATGATTCCCGCCGCTTGCGGGGAATGAAATTCGTTTTGCGCGCAAGCTGAAAGGCTGAAACCAGATAACGAATCGAACTAAAGCGATTGATGAATAGTCGTGTCTTCGCGAGACAAACAGAAACCGATGACTTCGTATTCAACGAAGCCAATCGGATTTCGTCGAAACCGGTCGCTTCGTCGCTTTGAAATTTTTATCCAAACAATCTGAATGGAAGTTCGATTCGATGAGTTAATTGTATAATTGAAACGCGGGTAATCTCGGGTTAAAAAAGAAGCGACGCGACGTCGCGTTGGTATTCCAAGTTCGTGGGAGAAACAAGATCGTATCGCATCGGTGAAGCGGTCCTAGTCCATTCCAGCTACTTAAGAGATTGACACGGGAAGATAGTATAATGGACAGAGCGGTCGAGGAATCGTGGCCTCCTCCTGAATCGGGCACCGTCTCTAATGGGCCAACACTGATCGTTGATAAATTTCAGAAACGCCACGGGCCACCCTTCGATTCTTCTACCGGGACTTGGGCCCCATAGAATCGATTAAGCGAGATAATAAAGTCGTGTTAATGTATTTGTCCGCACTGTTACAGATACCGATCCCAACACTAGTACGAATATTCTTTTCACTAATAAATATAATTCCGTAGACGATTACAAAGGCTCTGATAGATGTTTTCTTATACAAAAGATAATTAATCATTCCAACAATAGGATTTATCAAGATTCATCCTTCGGAGTAGGTATAACATTGTTTTCAAGGTTTAAAACCGTATTTATGCAAGTCTACAAAAGTTCGAGCTATTCAGTATAGATACATATAAGAATGTCGGGTGTTTCGGTTCTTGATATAACGGCACAACACTGGGTAAAGACGATAATCTGCACCTGCACCTCATAGAATTTAATCACAATGATTGCTCTGTCCGACCGAAATCAATTATTACGCAGATGTATACGTACAAACACCGTCCAGTTATGGGAATGTTCTCCACACATCTATACAAATCTTCCCACTTTTGGATGCATGTAATGTATCCATGTCAATTTCTTCCTACTATCACCTGCTGGAACATTCGACTTTTCTCCACTATTACAGAAAAACTTATAGAATTCGGGTAATTTGATCCTTAATATAACATTTTAGAAGTAACTGGAAAATTTATAAACAGAAGGTACGAAAAGATTAATATCGTTGCTAGAAGCCCATTACAATTTAAAATCAAAACTGTAATCAAATTCCAACGAACCGTAACTCTAAAAGCGTCCACCCCTTAGTGGGACGTCAGCGCGTAACCTCTATCTTCTGAAACTGGTATCCCTTTTCATCGCCGTTCGCCAGCGTATAACGGGTCGCAAGCTAAAACAGAAGTCCGTAGCCCGTGGGTTTGGATGGTTCATAGTTGGAGAAGCCCTGAGGAAGAAGGGTGCGCTCTGTCTAGTAGCATGAACGGTGGAAAGGAGAAGAGGACGAAGGCAGAGGGGGCACGAAGCGAAGGAGGACGATGGTGTTGGCACTCTCGGGGGCCATTATTGATTGTTGTTGATAATTAGCCGGTACAGGCGCGTCAATCACGAGGCAAGGCGAGGTTATTAGGCTGTTGGTTAGCACCGGTCCGATGGCACACGTACACGCGCGCGGGTACACACGCCGAGCAGTCACGCAGGATACGGGTGCACACGTTGTACAGGTGTCCGCGCGCGCGCGCCCGTATGTGTGCCTGCATACATTACTGTGTAGCTGCGTGTGTACGCACCGCCATTGAGCCACCCGATTACCCCCCACAATTCGATCTAATGCGCTACGCTGCGATGCGAGAGGAGGTTAATTATGCAGTTAATGAGAGATTGAATATATGTGTATACCGTATAGGGTGTCGGGATGGACGAGGCCGGCAAAAAGAGAATCATTTGGAGCCCGGTACCACGATACCCGATTGTTGAATTTGGTTTATGGTCGAAGAACGCCGGAAAACGGTACTCCATTCTCTTCCCGTTTTAAATTAATCGCGTTAGAGAACGTTCCGAGGCGTGGTTAAACGCGGGAAGCGCCCAGAGCAGCCGAGAAAACTCGGGTGCTTTTTGATTGCCACGAAATTGATATGAAATACCGCCCGTTCGCGTTTGTTCGTGGACAAACTGATATAAATATGCATACGAAACGACGGATTTTCATCATCCTGTACTCTACACAGTGCGGAATAGAAGGGCGGTGGTCCATGCGAAAATGTCTATTCGCCACGATGACCGCGAGAACATTCGTTATCTATCGGTGTTGTGGTACCTTCCGTAGAATCAATTTCTTCTTTCATAACGGCCTTCACGTGGCTCAGATATTATACGTATAATAAAGATGGGTAATGCGGAAAATGACTACAATTTGCAGCGAAAAGGAGCATATTATAAGTAACATTTTATCATAAGTGCTGGTTAGCGTAGTTACCTACGTGCTATAAACTTGTTTAATGACAACAAAATTTCGCGTACTACTTGACTAACATTGTAACTTGCTCTCATTAAAGAATTCTTCTAGCTTTGCAATTCAATTTTTCTATATAAAATCAGCGTTCATAACGACCTGACGAGTATCAAATTTAAAAAAATTTTAAAACGAGCGGCATTTGTAACTGACGTTTACTACCAGTCGCCAAAGGACTTACGCATTGCGCGCAAAACGACGAAAAATTCGCTTTTTGCAGCTGGTCCCTCAATTTCCGCTACACCGAACGTCATGCCAGGCAAATTGCGTCGAGGCGTTGATTTCTACGATAAATTGCCGGATTGAGCGTCATGGAATTTATTGACCAACGCGATATATCGTGTGCCGATGTTGAACGACTCTTTTGAGTATGAAGATTATTCGATAATCATTTATTAATTATACCATAAAAAAATACTGTGATGAGATCTGTCTTCTTCTTGCCTTAAACATAAACTCTACTACAAAGTGTAAATGTCTTTTAATAAGGGCTGCTATCGCGATAGTTGAATTTTAATTTTTATTGTAGTGTCTATATCTAGCTGCTACTTTACAGGACGATAGATAAGCCTCGCCATCTTAGCATAGCTTGTAAATGCAATCTGAATTATAATCTTCGATCTTCCAGACAGTACGTAGATACACACGAGAGTCGATTCGAGGGCGATATATTTCTATGCTTTATGCGATCCTCCTGAAAATCTCGTTTCAATCGTTGAATTTCTAAACAGCGATTTTGTTCAATAAGAAAACTACTTGTTTCGTTTGATTGTTCCAATGCCCCATTAATATTTGATTGCTAACGTATTTTTGATCTCGTGCTCGAAATTATTCATTTGGCAAACTCATTACGAGCTGGTAAATGTTGAAACGGATAATTAATTGCCGAGTAAGATTCGGTAAAATTCGGCTGCAATTTGTCGTGCGATTGTGTTCGATTCGTTATTACAGATATTGAAAATCGCGACGATGCTCGGAATAATTACAAATATCCGTGTGAATCGATAATGGCCGATAGTCCGGGTCCGGTCACGGCATGTAGCGTTCAAATTAAATACTACACCAGCCTCTTTGCGAACCGATCGGTTCACGCGACATCGCTACAAATTGAAGCTTTTACGTGTATCGTAATAAAAACGTGATGTGCTATTAAATCGATGGAAAGCGCGTCGAGGAAACGATACAAGCTTTTCGTTTCGTAGCTTGAATGATTCAGCTAACTTAACTTAGCTTAACACTTCGCTCAAACTTAATATAAGTGATTTATTCAAAAATAAATCCCAATTGTAGATTATCCTTTAACTAAATTGCAAATAATAATATAAAACTGAATTCGTTTCTTAACGTCCAAAGTAAAAAAGGGGATATCGATAAAAATTGATTCGCGGAGAATCGCGAATTAAAAGTTGCACGCGAACGCGAGAAGTGATGAGCAGTCGCAACACTTGTAATGGCTGGCATTATACGAGCATAATAGAGGTAATAGCCGAGACCGGGATAAATCGATCACCATTACCGTACCTATTAACCGTAACGACCGTTTCCGAGGAGACCTGACCACTCCCGTGGGTTTCCAGGTGAGAACAGCTGCAACTCCACCGGCGGCGGCAGCGACGAGGAACTCGGCGCAGGCTGCGGGGACGATTTGAACGGGAACGGCGGCAAGAAGAAGCATCGTCGGAACAGGACGACCTTCACCACCTACCAGCTGCACGAGCTCGAGAGGGCATTCGAGAAGTCTCATTATCCGGACGTATACTCCAGAGAGGAACTCGCTATGAAAGTCAATCTTCCGGAAGTGCGTGTCCAGGTAAGTCGTTGCAACTCGGTACTCTCTCAAGTCGTCGATATTCTTAGTGTGCAGTTTTCGATAGATTTGTGCAAAAGTGAGTCGTTCGTATCTGAGCTAAACCTACTTCCGGAATATTACTTTGTTTATATACATTTATTCTTTCTGAAATATTTGAATTTATAGAGTAGATGACCGAATGAACCTTTTCTACTTTTCCCAGTTTTTCTTTTGTAATCTAAACGCACAGAAAAGATGTCGAACAGACGATTTACCTTGACACAATTAGAGTACTGAAAGTCCGTTTAGACAGTAAGCGTTAAGAGTGCAACAGTGCGCTGAAACAGGAGTTGTAGACTTCTTTGTCTCATTTACGAACACTTGTCTGAATAGGATGTGAGAAATTGATTTCTTATCACGTGTGTTACATACCACAAAACATATTGAGGGAAAAAGCTGAGTGTTTTCTTGAATAAATTCTTGCGACAGTTAACGCAAACTTAAAAACAGTATTGTTCTATAGTGAAAGATCTGTCGCGGGAATCAGAGATTAGAAAGAATAATTGCTGGAAATCGGGTTGTTAATCCGTATAAAGCGAGAGACCGTTTTCTCTCGAGGGTATAGGGAGTGTTCATACATTTTTAAATAATCGCTCGACCGCGGAGTCACGCGAGTAACAAGGTATTAACTCGTTAACCCTCACGACACTGCGACGCGATCTAGTTATTTCAATGATTTCCCGGGAAAGAAATTAGTGAACGGACAGTTTGAAATTATTGTTTATTGAGCAACATCATTTCTATTACTTAAAACAGATAAAATCTTCCTTGGAAAATCAAAACTGACACAAATAATTAAATATCCGTAGCACATGATTTACGTAGAGTACTCGGCTATAGGTAGGAACAATTTTAAATGGTCATTCTATAAGCCAAATTGAGACAAAATCAAGAATAAAAAATTGGGCTCGAGGCTCCATTCTTTTTAATATTAAGCGATTATAAATTACTCCTGCCGGCTATTGGTTCTCAACTAGAACGTGCGTTTAACAGTCTAAACGCTAACACATCTCATAACGGTTACCGTTACGGTGGGCACTTTGTACGTTGGGGACCATTGCCTGCACAGTGAGGATTTTCGGGTCAGCATTCCTAAAATGCAACATGCCCAATATAACGGTATGTCAGTAATTAGAATTTTAAACTCCTCTGAGAATCACAGGAATAGGTAAGTTTGTTTATCATCAGGTGCAATTTTTAATCACTTATAACTAACTAAGAAATGGAACCTCGAAGACGATTTTTCTATTTTTTACTTTTATCTTATTTTGGCTATTAGAATCACCGTTAAAAATGTTTCCATCAGTAGCCGAACATCTTTATAACAGAGCATAGAAGTAATGAAAACAAAACTTAGTTAAAACTAAAATGACACTGACAAAAATCTATTTCAGTTATGTTTAATTTTAAAATAGGAACTAGACCAATACGGAATTAGCCTACTCAACAATTTAAAGGGTAATCGACATGTTCATTGGACGCGAACGATCAGTCGTACGAATCAACCGATTTATTATTTCCCTTACTCCAATGTCTCTTTGTTTCGCTTGGAACCAGAAGCGGACACGAGTGCCGTGCCGCGCGACCAGCGAGCAAGCCGAGTTTAATGGCAGCGTTTCCGTGCAAACAATCGGAACAGCAATCGCCGGCTGACGCTGGCCCCGACGTATTAAACTAAATTAAATTAATTATGTGCGTGACAGCGATAAAAGCACGCAGTCGCATGCGACGACGCATCGATTAGGCTCCCGGGGGCACGCTTTCTGACCGTGTTACCTGTGTACTGTGTTTCACGACGTACCATGCTTTGGTAATAACCCAGGTCGTTCGCCGTCTACCTGAGCGCACCTGCTTTCCGCTCAACGCGGAATTCATTTTTCACCGAGTTTTCACCAAAGTCCGACTAATACTGTACGATACTACTTGGTCACAATATAATCGCCTTTAATGATTCTCTCGCTTAAATTGAAAAATGAAAATTATAATTGTCAAAGAAAAACTTCTATCATGAACAAGCCTAATAACCGTGAAATCGCGAGCAATTAATAACAACCAGCAAAGAAGGAAAAACGGGAGGTCGTATCCTCAGGACAAATCGCACGGAAGGGACGAAGGATAACGTAACGGTGCCGCCTCTGTCCCCAGAAGAGAGTCGCAATTAAAAATTTAAATTGCGTTTAAAACCTGCCGGTGATGCCGCGTCGTGTCCACTACCACTGTCACCACTACGTTATACTTTTTTCAATTTTCTCTAGAGGGGTTTACCGACCTTTCTCCTTCCATAGTTTCCCTCTCCGTCGTTTCCCTCTCCGTCGTTTCCCTCTCCGTCGTTTAATATTCCGTTGCCCCTTTCGTTACTTCTCTCGTAGCGTACACAGCGTCGACCGAGAAAGCGAGGAGAAGCTGGAAGGTCGAAGAAGGGAAACGCGAGTGCGCCCCTAAGGTACGCCTAATCTCTTAAGCTTATTACGCGGGCAGACAAGGCGAAGGAATCAGCCGCGAACCTACGCCGACTAAAGAGAAACAAGGGAAGAAAGGAGAGATAGCCCTGTCAGGGTGGGAGGAAGAGAGAGAAGGGAGAAAGTGGTGGTTGGTCGCGATGGTAGGCGCAACGGAGAGGCGGACGCACGTTCGGTTTCATCATTTTTAATTGATAGCGCACGCCAATCCTATCTGTCGGATTTATTAGGCCGCTCGACGAGATGGTTTTGCGGAGAGATGGTAGGGGTTGATAGCGAAGGGAAACGGAGCTTTTATTGGACAAACCGGGTTGTTTCGGTGGTAGGGGCTCCGGTCGGTGGTCACCATAGCCCCGATTGTATGACCCGGGAAAGCGCGTTTTCCAGATTTTCATGCCTCCTCTAGCCCAACTGTACACACGCACGCAAACCGTACACACCGGCACCGGCAGATTGATTGCGGGGATTAACGCTGTTTTCTCGCGATAATTATCGTTCACGGAGTGCGGAGATTTTATTGGATACACGGTTCCGCTCCGCCTCGGCCGATATCGAAACGTCAAATTGCTTGTTAAGCTCGTTATTGTACTTCAGGTTTATACGCAATGTTACAACCGCGTTCTAGAGTTCGTAGGTAAATGGGTTCGCAAGAAAGTATATCGTCGAAAATGGTAATGCAGTCAATTTTCTTGAATAAATAGATATTTCGTGTTGAATGTAAGTTACAACGTTAGTAATTCAGTAATATTTTTCGGACTTCCAATTTCGTTCGTTTAATTACATTGCCATCGTTTCGAGTGGTAGGTTACTTGAAATTTAATTAATTTGCATGAGCGACGTGTCGACGTTTCGAAATTGAATTATCGCGAACGGAAAAGGGCGGACGTAACACCTTGGAGCGATGATTGAACGCTTGAAAGAATGGAAAAGACTAAAAGAGAACGCGCGCTCGGCTCTTGCCAAGATAAATGACACTGTGTAATGCAAGTGTGCTCGGCTAATCGATAAAATCACTTAGATCCGGTCCAAATGCAGGAAACATCTATTTATTCACTTTATTTTCCGCTTTTTCATGAACAACGAAATCTCGTTTTAAGTTTGATGAAATTCAGGGGACGATTCACTTCTTCCGGAGGGACGATATTTAACCCACATGTTCATTCTCTTCCAAAGTAATTATATATCCTTCAGAACTGATTGTGTCTACATGTAGATTCTTGTATGCTACATTTTTTTATGTATTTTTTGCATACTTTTTTATGAATGCATAAAATGTCGTGCAGACGCAAGTTTGACTATAAAAAACGTGGTGCTAGAATTGCAATCGATATAGGGCTGAGTTCTCTGAAAATCACTCATCGAAATTGGTTCGATCACGGAACACCTGCTTATTGGGGTGATGGCTGCGTGTGAATGTATACGCAATACAAAGCAAAATTTAATTTACTACATTCGTTCAGGAATTATGAATGACAAGATGCGAATTTGAATTCAACGATTTAACAGTATATGTTACGTAAGGAAAATGCGTGGCGGAAATCGTGACGAGGCAGAGCCGTGACATTTCGCAGCGGGGAAACGCGAATCGATGGCCGTCGGTATTTGCCGAGGCGAACCATGGAGAGAATGGAATCGACAATCGACAATCGTCGTGGGCAAGGCACGAAGAGACGGGCGGAAAAAAGCGGGCAGATTGATTTTTCGCGGTAGGCCAACTAATTTGAAGAGGGAGAGTCAAAGCGAGAGAGAGAGAGAGGATTCAGTCGCGGCCGGATAGCCGATCGTTCGTTGCGCTCGGCTCGGTCGCTCCGATGATTGCCAATTGGAAAAATACTCCAATTCGATTACAATTTTTTTCGTTCGCTCGCGCACACTGGGAAGAATTTCAAACCCGAGATATACATTCGTTCCAGCAGGATAGACGGCCGTGGGGGGACACCGAGAGGAACGAGGATTGGGCGGTGGTACGTGAAACTAATATCGACGCTGCAATCGTTTCTGAAAGCTTTTGAGAGCGCAATTTAAAAGCGATCTTCCTTGTTTTCGTTCCATTTATAAAGAAAATCGGTGCCGCGGCACGCGTCTACCCTTATGAAAAACATTTTCGACGATCACGTGGACGTTATTTTCGCGCGATACGCGTCACGAAACGAGAAGCTGTTCGGGCGCAACGGCAAGAGAGGCAGGGTGTTAAGTTCTTGGCAAGAAAGTCATTTGTGCTTGAAGCTAAGAACCCGTGTTAGAAAATAAAAGGATCTTCTACGTTGCTGCAATTTATTTACTCGCGTCGGCATGGAAACGCAGTTCAAAGACGAGAGACACGTGCTCTCGTTCTGTAACTATTTTCTTGCATACGAACTGCATTAATCGAATTCTACCTTCGCCAACCTTGTGAACAATTAACCCCCGTTTCAAACGATAACTCGCCCGTCTACTCGAACGCATAAACGACATCGTTTGATCTTTACTTCCCTTACAGATACTGTTCGTTTGTAGAACATA